TTGAACTCCTGCGTTTCTCTAGCAGGGATAAAATAATGTGAACTTGCTACTGGTGTCAAATATTGTAGCCAGGAGCATGTCCTTCTTGTTCCCATCAAAGTTTCTGGATCTTCAGACTTCTTTATTTTGGCTTTTGTAGGTAAGCGACTTAGAGAAGAAAGAATGAAATATCTTATGTTGTTGTATATTGAAATCTTGATTTCTTGCAAGTACCTGCAGGTACTCTTCAATTTATCTTGTAATTTTTTAATTCTAATAGATGAAATTTTCTACTCTGTTTTTCTCTTGTATACTATTTTCTAGATAAGTGATCATTTTAGATGCTTAGATTAATAATTTCAAGGATACAAAATGGATTTGGATGCACACATTTCCTTGAAACGAGCAGCAACTGTGTTTCTAATTTAATGGAGTGATTCTGAAAAATTGCAGACTTACAGCTTATTTTTAATGAAAGAGTTATTTTCTTTTAGTGAACAAATCATCTGTAACATGGAAAGCTACAGCATGTCAGTTGGTTTCTAGCTACATCTGTTTTCACCAGAATAAAATCTAGCAGTGTGTGGTCTATATTTCTTTGGTTAATAATGTGAATTAAGTTGCATTTGGTAAATAGAAAGGTGTGTTGCAAAAGTTTTCCAACATCTCACTTAGAGCGTAATAAACTGTGTGTTGTTTGCCAGCTTTGCAGCTCCTCTAAGTTTCTTATCGTACGGTGTGAGAAAAATCGATATCTCATTTCTCACATCAGCCAGATGGATAGGCCAGGCAAGGGCTTCAGCCAAGGCTTTGTGCCATTCTGACAGGGAAAAAACATGTTTTCACTATTTCAAGCTCTACTGTTTACAAGCAGCTATTGACAGCTTTGCAGTACTTTCTCCAGGTAAGATCTATCATGGTGGAGCTTTAAAGTCTTGCTGGCTCTCCTGCATTTCTCACCCTTCCTCAATTGCCAAGTACAGTTATAAATTCTTAAATCGGTTCTTACTTTTGCATGTTCTCATTAAATGTTGAGATTAGCCAAGGAATAAAGAAGATGTTCTGAATTTACAGTCAGCCTGACTTATGCTGATCTTCACAAAAAAAGGTGTCATGAGATTTTGGCTTACAAAAGCCTGGCAACTTTCATGCCTGCTGATGAAATTAGTTCCCCTGTATGGCACAGCTCTTTATATCTGTTGCAGAACAAGTTGGTGGAGAACCAACTGGCAGCAAAAACAGTGTGTTTTTCTGCTCTGTGGATGTCATAGAACACATTAAAATAACAGGTAATTTTTAATACCGGGATTAGGGATAGTACCAATATTAGTATTAAAAAATATCTTCGAAGTTGGAAGAGAGCTGAAAAGTTATATTTTGCAACGCACTCACTAATAAAATTAAAAATGTTATTAGTGAAAGCATTGATTTTCTACTTTTACACACAATATATCATAATCACATCCAAAAAAGAGTATTAAAAGATAATTGGACCT